TTCATTGTTTTCCTTGTTTCCCCTGGAACGGCCTTCATGGGCGCCTTCGCAAAAGCGTTCAGAAAAAAAACATTGAACGCCGCTACAAAATAAAACAAACTGAAAGCCGTTACAAAAGGAATTCTTTTGAACGCCGTTACAAAAGGAATCCTATTGAAAGCCGGTACGCAAAGAATCCTATTGAAAGCCGCTACAAGAGGAATACTATTGAAAGCCACTGCAGAAGGAATCCTATTGGAAATGCTTAGAACCTACCCCGGAGGATTTCTCAGACCTCTTTCTAGGAAAACGAAGAAAACACAGAAAAACAAAGAAAACGCAGCGAAAACCAAGGGACAAATAGTTTTTCCTTGTTCTTCGTTGTGTCTTCGTTGTTTTTCATTATTTTCCCTGGAAAGACCTTGGGCGCCGTCGCAAAAACGTCAAAGGAATTCTATTGAACGCCGCTGCAAAAGTAATCCTATTGAAAACCGTTACAACAAAAATTCTTCTGAACGCCGTTACACAAAGAATCCAATTGAAAGCCGGCGCGCAAGGATTCCATTTGAAAACCGCCACACAAGAAATCAAATCCCATTGAAAATCTCGTTGTTTTCAATGTAGCAAATTCGAGATTTATTTTTTTGCGAATCGCAAAAAAGTTGAAACAGTCTCTCGATAAGAACGAACGATGCCTTTTGTTAATTACAACGTATGTTGCCCAATACAAATGTCTAATTTCGAACGCAGCCAAATTCTAATATTTTGTTGCGACGTATTCTATAATTCGTCGTCATATAGAATCGCGTTCAAGGTGCTAGAAAACCTCTGTGGCAACAACTTTACACAAACAGTGCGCCAAGACAAACAATCGTTTTGGGTACATGGATTAAGCGGAAACGATGAAAGCGGAACAGAGGAGGGTTTTGAAATTTCACGGTGAAGTCCCATTGGAAATGCCTAGCATGTACCCCGGAAAATTCCCAGACTCCTTTCCAGGAAAACAAGGAAACACTAAGAAAACGCAGCGAAAAACAATGGAAATTGAGTCTTTCTTTGTTTTTCGTTGTCAGCTCCTTGTTTTTCGTTGTTTTTCATTGTTTTCTTTGTTTTCCCTGGAAAGGCTTTGGGCGCCTTCGCAAAAGCGTTAAAAAGGAATGCTATTGAACGCCGCTGCAAAAGGAATCATTTTGAAAACCGTTGCAAAAGGAATTCTTTTGAACGCCGTTACAAAAAGAATATCATTGAAAGCCGGTGCACAAAGAATCCGATTGACAGCCGCTGCAAGAGGAATCCTATTGAAAGCCGCTGCAAAAAAGAATTCTATTGGAAATGCCTGGGGGATTGCTCAGACCCCTTTCCAGGAAAACAAGAAAATCAATGAAAAATAAGGAAAACGCAGCGAAAAACAAGGGAAATTGTGTGTGTTTCCTTTTTTTCGCTATAGTTTTCTTGTTTTTCCTTGTTTTCCTTGTTGTGCTTGCTTTCCCTGGAAAGGCCTTGGGCGCCCTTGCAAAAGCTTTAGGAGAAATTCGATTGAACGCCGCTACGAAAGGAATTCTTTTGAACGCCGTTACGAAAGGAATCCTGTTGAACCCCGACAAACGCTGAGGGGGCGCCACCGCGACAGCACGTGAACTTCATGCGAGATGATTTGAACCGGAATGCGGGGACCCTCGAATATCAAAGGGCGGGGAAGGCCGCCACCAGCCGGCCGTCGGCGCGAAACCGTTGCAAAGATTCGGAACGAGCGTGCGCGGCGCTGCGAACCGTCCCCTGCCAACCCTGACCACGCGGGAGACGGCGACAGTGAGAATGCAGGGCAGGGGTGAAGGAGGGGCACGAGGAAAGGACATCGACGCAGGCGGTGAGGATGGTAGAAGCGACGTGGAAAAGGGGGGAGCGGGGAGTAATACATATGGAGGAGGAACGGGAGGACAAGGAGGAGGAGGAGGAGGAGGAGGAGGAGGAGGAACGGGCATGCCAGACACGCCCTCGCGGGACCGCAGGGCGCGCTGGTCCTCCGCAGTGACGGCGCGCGAGGAAGGGGCAGCCAGGGGGTGGCGCTCGGCCGCCCAAAATTTCCCGTGCAACCCTTGCGCGTCGATATATTTGGCCGCCAAAATGGATTGTGACTCCCCCTGGGGGCTTCCAAAGTGGCAGTTTTTTTCTCCACTAGCGGAACACTACTAGGTACGCTCTCTTCGTCCGCTAGAGGAACACTACTAGGTATGCTTTTTTCGCCCCCCAGAGAAACACTTCCGGGCGTGTCAAAAGGGAGCCGGACTGGTTCCGCGTCTGCGGCCTTGTCGCGAAGACCGGGGGCAGCATCGTTCAAGGGGGACACTGCTAGGTAAGGCTACCGCGGCGGTGCCTGCAACAAGCTTGCACGGATATTTTTGGAATCCTCTGGAACCCGTGCCCGCGCCCGAATTATTGCCCTCTCCCCTGGCGGCGCCCTGTCCTGCGGGGGCCCGAAAGCCCCGGCGCCGCTGACCGGGCCGCATCCCATGCCAATGCCCGCCGCCCAGTGGCAACGGGCCGGGGCGCCCCCGTGCCCCATGCCGTTTGACGGCTTACACGTCCCCAACTTCTGGCCGTCATGCACGGGGGCCCCTGGCCGACGGGAGACGCTGCCCGACGGCGGAAAAACAGGCAGAATGATCACCCCCCGCTTCGACACCAGATACCACGCCAAGTTCCTGCGCCCACAGCGCGTTCAACGCTCTCCCTGATCGCGCCAGCGCAGCCCAGCGAGCGCGCCTCCACGCAGTGCAGAGGCACATATTCATCTAGCAGTGCCTTTGCAGTGCGCGAGTCACCGATCGGGAATTCCCGCGCGCGAACTTCGCAGGCGCAGAATGCGCCGAGAAAGATTTCCGACGAATTGCTAACTTCGGTAACCAAGTTCCCGCGGAACGTGGTTCTAACTTCGCGGCGGCAGGCCCTGGCGGACCTAGCGGCAGCGCTCCGCATCCAGGCGCTGCGAATCGGGTCGGCATTGCACGGACTGGAGCGCATGCTCAACCGAGCTTGCGAAGCCGATGGGAACTAAATTCAAGCGATCGCCCGCGCCACTCGGAATCGCGAGCGAACTGCCGTCTGACACTGGCACGCGCGCGCCGATGACATGTAGTCGCGCCTGCGCTGCGGGGGGCGCTCGTTTGGCGCCGCGTGCGCGACGCAGCAGAGCAGGCAATGTCTGTCAATTTGTGCGAGCCGCGCCCAACAAACCGCGTGATGGTTCAGTTCAAAATGTCCCACTCGCTGCGTGCACAGCGACCCCCCCCTGTGCGATGGCCGACGCGCTGGTCGCGCTCATCGAGAGAGCGGGGGCGCCAAGAAAGCAAATCTTGGATCCGATGGGCACCCCAGGGGGTAAGGACCACAGCTCCCTCAGTTACCGCTGGTCTGAAGTTGCGGGCTGCTGCAAGTGTTGCCGCTGAGTAGCTCGAGCGGACCTGCAAGCGATGAAACTTGCAGTGCGCGTCGACAAGATGGACGACGGGCTTGCCAGCATGCGTGTGCTCACGCCGTAGCAGGTTTGCCCCGCGAAAACCATGGCCTTTGACCTCGTCCTCGGCATCTCCGCTCAGGCGCCGGTAGCCGGAGTCGCTGTGCAAGTCGACCTCGTTTAGTCGGCAATCTCTCAGGGCAGGCCTGCACCTTCCTGGTGATCGCGCTCAGTTGTCGCATTTGCGTGTTGGTCGGCTGTTGGACGCGCTGTAGCGATGCAACATATACCATTAACCACGCTTGTGTGATCAGGGCGTAAGCCAAGGCGCCTCTGAGGCCAAGGCGTGAGCCAAGGCGCCATGTCAGTGATCATCTTCGGTGCCTTGGCCTCAGCGTCTGCGCCTGCGAGTTCATGATGTGGGATAGGACGGAGCTGTTGTTTTAAATCTTCGTCGTCTTGACCAAATGTAACATTACCGTCGCCGTCCTTTGTGTACCTCACAACGCAGGTGGTATGTGTGGTTGTTGAATTGGCATGCGCCAGATGTATCGTCAACACACTTGATGTACTTGTCAATCGTGTCCTCCGTACAGGCCAAAGTTATGTCATCAACATGACTGGCTGTGAAATGATCAGAGCGTGTCTCGAACTCCTCGTCGAAAAGGCGCGGGATGGAGACCAAACCCTCTCGTGGCCCTTCTGAACTTCAGTGAGAAAGGCTCTTGGTGCGCCCTTGGTGCCAGTACCTGGTTTGAGGCGCTGTAGGCAATGCTACGACTCATCGTACTGCTCAAATCCTGGGAAGGATCTTAGCACAGATGCTGAACCAGGTGGCAGTGTAAAGCAAATGGCGCGTTCTTGTTTCAACGGTTGTTTCAGCAAGCTCCTGAATGTCCTTTTTTTTTTTAAAAAAAAAAAATGCATATATATATATATATATATATACAAATATAGAAAAGGTTGATGTCAAGGGAAACGATGATCCATTGCTTCTTGCGCGCTGCCGTGCTGGCGAGTAGTCGCTGACTCGACCGCCGCGCCGTTCATGAAAACGTCTCCACATCGAAGGCTTCGATGTCCATGAAAACCCCGAAATACCAAGCCGAGTCCGATGGTACGTTCCATGTCGCCCTTCCCGTTCTTGACGAATTTCCATGTGCATACGTATCCCGAAATCATGATGTTTGACGCTTTTGACATATCTTGTATGTTGAAGCACGTATTGTCAAACCATGTTTTGAGTTCAGTATCAAGGGTTTTGGATGCCTTGGCTGGATTCGCGTGGATATCGGCCTTCGAGAGGATACCGTCCTCCTTCACGAATACAACTCGTTTCGCTGCAGCGGTCACTCGCATAGTGGTCACACGGTCGAAATCGAGTATTCAGTGTTGTTGTTCGGATAGGACTACCTTTGACACGTCTGCAGTGAAGCAGAGTTCTACACATTGTCCGAGGAGGAGGAGGAGGGGAAGGAGGAGGCGGAGGAAGAGGAGGAGGAGGGGGAGGAGGGGGAGGAGGAGGAGGAGGAGGGGGTGAGGAGGGGCAGGAGGAGGAGGAGGAGGCTTTGCTGCGAGAACCCGCCTGCAGATCCCTGCCACAGCCAGCCTTCAGTCCAGGCGGCGGCTGGGGGCACACTGCTGAGGTGCCTTACCCCTTCCGCCAGAAAACTTTGCCCGAAAGCAAGTGCGGGTCAGAGCGTTCGCTCCTAGAAAGCGTCGCATTCCCAAGGGATCAGGGAATGGGACGCCTCCTCGAGGAGGCGGAGAAAGAGGAGGAGGAAGGGGAGGAGGAGGAGGAGGAGGAGGAGGAGGAGGAGGATGAGGAGGGAAGGGAGGAGGAGGAGGAGGAGGAAGACGAGGAGGAGGAGGGAGGAGGAGGAGGAGGGAGGAGCAGGAGGAGGAGGAGGAGGAGGAGGAGGTGGAGAAGAGGAGGAGGAGGAGGAGGAGGAGGAGGAGGAGGAGGAAGAGGGTCTCTCGTGCCCTTCGGCCGGCCTCGGTCGGCCGCGCGCACCCCCCGCCCCCCCGCGCAGCTGGCGCTGGAGCCTGGCGCCCGCCGCCCTTGCTGCCCCTGCTCGGTCCAGCGGCCCCATGTTGACTACCTACCAGAACACCCCAACCCAACCCGAAGACCCGAATTTCGGGTTGGGGGGGGTAAGGGCTCCACGCGTGTTTTTTCGATGTTTCCCGGACCCCCCCCCCACTGGAAATGGAGGGCAAATTGAGGCTTTCGGGTAGGGTTGGGGTGGTTTGGTGGGTGGTGAGTGACCAAGACTGCACGCGGAAACGTCGTGCCGTTCTTGGCCAGCGCCCATCTCGGTCAGTGTCAGTTCGTGGATCCACCTCGCCGTTCGGCGACGGCCGGCATGGGCCAGGACCGTGGTCGGCATCGACCTGATCCCTCGACTGGGGAAACCAAAAGGTACCGATACCGCTACTCCCCGGACCTCTCCCACAGCCTGCGGCCGTTATTCGCTCCTCGTCGCCACGGGTACCTCGTACCGCGCGTTCTCTCTACTAGACCTGCGACCGTTAGTCGCCTTCACCTCGCTTTCTCCGCTCCTCCAGGCCCCGCGCGCGAGGTCGCAGGGAAACCCCCTCGGCCCAAGGCGCTGGACTGCAGGCATCCCCCTCCGTGGGGGTCTCTCCCTGGGCGTCCTGGAGGTCCGCTCATCGCCTGTCCCGCCTGCCGCCTGCCTCCCCTCCCCGCACGGGGGTCGACGGACACCTGGTCCTCCCCCACCGCGCTGCTCATCCCGTTCAGCACATTGCAATGCGAAAAAAGGGAACCGTCAATTCGGGGGGGTCGACCTAACTTTATAAAAGAACATTCTATTGCGCATTATACTTGGTGGGGAATACACGTTGTGCAATTCACGTGGTGCAGCCTATGCACATGTATGTTGCTCGAACTAGCAGGGTGCGTTCTGACCAGGCTTTCAAGGCGAATCCGGCGTTGGCGACGATGGTTTCGGAGGGCACCCAAAAAGGGGGAGAACGAGGAAAGGGTAGAGGTATGGGCACCTTTTCCTCCTCCGATCGAAATCTTGGTCATGGTCCCCGTGCTTTCTCCCTCGACCATGCCCCAAAGTTGTGGATGCCATGACAATGGACACCCTGACAATCCCATCATTGAACCAATCATGTGCTCAAAATGTAGGAACCGTGTTCGAAACATGCTCAAACCCTTGTTGTCAAAACAGGCGGAAGATACATGTAAGATGAAACATCTCCTAGACCTCTGGGAACTGCCTGGACATCTTCTGTGCATCTTCTATACATCTCTCAGGCATCTTTTGGACATCTGCAATGTTAAACATCATTTAAACATCTTTTTAGATGGAACATCGCTTAGACATCTGGAAACATCTCCCCTGATCGGCGTCCACGACCCCAGGGGGCGGAGGCGCGGGGGGCCACGAGGCGGCCCACGCACCGCCGAGCCACCGAGGGTCGACCCTGGGGTGCACCTCACCCCTGCCCTGGCGGGGAGGAGGAGCGGAAGGGGGCCACGGCACGGGGCCTCCTCCCTCCTCCCTCCTCCTCCTCCTCCTGCTCCTCTTCCTCCTCCTCCTCCTCCCTCCTCCTCCTCCTCCTCCTCCTCCTCCTCCTCCTCCTCCCTCCTCCTTCTCCCTCCACCTCCTCCTCCCTCCTCCTCCTCCTCCTCCTCCTCCTCCTCCTCCTCTTCCTCCTCCCCCAGACACGAATGGAGGGAGCGACGAAGATCCCACGAGGATGCCACGAGGGAGCCACGAGGATCCAACGAGGGAGCCACGAGGGAGCCACGAGGATCCCATGAGGGATCCCACGAGGGACCCCGCGAGGGATCCACCTGCTTCCACGCACGAATGGAGCCGCGAGGACCCCGCGAGGGGGCCATGGCCCACGGACCACCAAGCTGACTCTCGAAGGCCAGCCCACACATGACGGAGACGCTCGGCAAACGCCCGCCCACCTGCACGCCTGACCTCACCCCACGGACACCGGCCACGAGGGGGCCGTGCGCCACGGCCCGCCGGACTGGACTCCCGAGCCACTCCGGGCAAAGAAGGGAGCCGCGCAGCAACCAGTGCCCAATGCCCAAGACGCTCTCCTCAACAACGGATGGCGACCACAAAGAAACTCCATGCGGGTGCACGGCGTACGTCACGCTTTCGTTCTCACCCCCCGCGCGGTGTACACCGTGCGGCCGCGGCGCTCGGCTGTGGTTGCAGACAGCGCCTCATGGGCCAACGCAGGCGTGTCTACTAACCCCCCTAACGGGGGACATGAAGGAGACTTTGGGCTTCACGGTCAGTGTTGACCGGGCCTCCGCACTGGAAAAGATTGTGGTGGCTTCTAGCTGCCCTTACCGTCAAAAGGTGAACTTTGCAGCGGAATCGCTAGCACCGGGGCCCAGGTTCAAGTCCTGGCCAGACGGTATGGGCGCACATGCGGTCCAGGTTTCAATGCCTGGCGGACGAGTGAGTGATCCAGACCCGCTGCATACTCAGTGGACCTCTGCCCCAGCAAATTCACCGTGCGCCGCGTGCCCAGATCCGTTTGGGTCGCTAGGGAGGGCACCGGGGCGGGAAGGGGAAATCAAGATCTCCATTCAACGGACGCCACGTGCATCCTCCTCCTCCTCCTCCTCCTCCTCCTCTTCCTCCTCCTCCTCCTCCTGCTCTTCCTTCTCATGCTGCCCCTCACACGCGCTGCCGTGGGCTCGTGCGCCTCCTGGGACGCTTCCGTGGAGCAGGGCGCCGAGCTCAAGAAAAAGCCTCCCCCTTCCCTTTTCCCACCTCTCTTCTCCATCTGCTGCCCCCCCTCAGGAGGAGGAGGAGGAGGAGGAGGAGGAGGAGGAGGAGGAGGAGGAGGAGGAGGGGCCCGCTGGCACACTTAAGGGCTCCAGGCACGGGTGCCTCCAGGGCACCCGACGCCGTGCACCCCGCCGACTCCCCCCGCGCCTCCTCTCCCCGCCCTGCACCCCACTCCGCTGCCCTCCCCTCGTCTCGTTTCTCCCCTCTCGCCTCCCGCCGCCCCACCCCTCCCCTCTCCCACCCCATCCTTCGCACGCTCGCGCATTCTGTCTGCAACGTTCGGAACCCGTGGGAGTCTGGAGGTGACAACAAGCGGGCAGCAGAATTGGCCATCCAGCTTCGCTATCCTCCCGACGGCAGCACGACCCACGCGAGAAAAGGCATTCGCCACGCGCCGCGCTCCTGTTTTGGTGAGACAACAGCACCAGACAGTCGATCTACCTAAGTAGTCTGAGCCATCTCTAGCACATCCTAGAAACTAGGATGGCAATGGGGCAGAAGAAACAGAGCTCGGTGAGACAGCGCCATCAGGCCAGGTTGTCCGGCTCCAGAAAGATCCTCAAGGCACGCGCCGCCAAACCCACGGGGGAGAACGTGGCCCCGTCTACCTCTTCGCCTTCTCTTACTCCTCGTCGTCGTCTGCGTCCTCCTCCTCCTCCTCCTCTTCCTCCTGCTCCTCCTGGCTCCTGGTTCCTGGTGGCCCCCAAGAGTTCTCCGAACACGGCCCTCCCCCTCCTCCTCCTCCTCCTCCTCCTCCTCCTCCTCCTCCTCCTCCTCCTCCTACTCCTCCTGCCCCTCCGCCTCACCCCGTCTGACATTTCCTCCTTCCTCGTCTCCGCCGAAGGAAAGGACAGGCAATGCATACGCAAATGACGAAACGTGCGCGAGGCGCAGCGGTCCGCTACCGTTACACAGAATGGAGTGTCCTTGCGTCCTCTCGAATTCATCATTGAGGATTGTAAATCCCCTTAGAGGCCTGGTCCACCGAGTTCCAGTGACTTCTGGGCGCTCCTCGGAGCTGCGTCGTGAGAGCGTGGATCGAAATCCAAACCTCCCAAGTGCTTGAAGATTGTTCTTTCCATGAGACCGTCATCGGGTTCCCATCGGAGCCTCCTGAGCCGCCTGAAACTGCCAAGGGGCACCCAAGATCGCTGCAGGACAGCCCCTTGGCCCCCAGGCGGGGCCCTGGATGCCCCAAGAGTGTTTTTCCCTACCTAGGCTCTGCCTAGAAGGGTTCTTACTCTCTTAGCTTAAAGGGGCCGGGCAGTGGAAATCGCCCTGGGCGGTTCCCCCAGTCCCCGCCCCGCGGTTCCCCCAGTTGCGCCCCCTGGGTTCACCCAGCTTAGCTTAGCTTCAGCTTAGCTTTAGCTTAGCTTGAGCTTAGCTTTAGCTTAGTTTTAGCTTAGCTTTAGCTTAGCTTGAGCTTAGCTTCAGCTTAGCTTTAACTTAGCTTTAGCTTAGCTTCAGCTTAGCTTCAGCTTAGCTCTAGCTTAGCTTTGCTTAGCTCTAGCTTAGCTTCAGCTTAGCTTCAGCTTAGCTCTAGCTTAGCTCTAGCTTAGCTTCAGCTTAGCTTTAACTTCGCTTTAGCTTAGCTTCAGCTTAGCTCTAGCGTAGCTTTAGCTTAGCTCTAGCTCAGCTTTAGCTTAGCTTTAGCGTAGCTTCAGCTTAGCTTCAGCTTAGCTTTAGCTTAGCTCTAGCCTAGCGTCAGCTTAGCTTCAGCTGAGCTTTAGCTTAGCTCTAGCTTAGCTTCAGCTTAGCTTTAGCTTGGTCTCAGCTTGGCTTCAGCTTAGCTTTAGCTTAGCTCTAGCTTAGCTTTAGCTCAGCTCTAGCTTAGCGTTAGCTTAGCGTTAGCTTAGCTTTAGCTTAGTTTTAGCTTAGCTGTAGCTTAGCTTTAGCTTAGCTTTAGCTTAGCTTTAGCTTAGCTTTAGCTTAGCTTTAGCTTAGCCTTAGCTTTAGCAGCTTTAGCGTAGCTTTAGCTCAGCTTTAGCTTAGCTTTCTCTTAGCTTTACTGTTACTACTAATGCTGCTTTCCTAGGGGCTCCAACTCCTAGGTAGGGTCGCGCTGGGATAATTTGTTGTTGTTTTTTTGTTTTTGTTTTTCCCCCACCCCTGAAAACGACGACGCCGCTGGTGAGGCGGCCCAGTGGTGAGGCTCGGTGCGGTGGGGGAATGCGTTGACGCCACCGCCCGAAACTCGCAGAGAGGCCCCCCCCCCCAATGGGGGGAGCGAGAGGGCGCTGCATGCCGCGGAGAGGCCGCCCTCGCCACGCCTCCGCCGACCGGACGGGGCGAGGACACTGCGGGGCGGCGAATAAGGACCCCTTCCAATCCTCCTCCTCCTCCTCCTCCTCCTCCTCCTCCTCCTCCTCCTCCTCCTCCTCCTCCTCCTCCTCCGCCTCCTCCCTCTCCTCCCCTCCTCCTCCTCCTCCTCCTCCTCCTCCTCCTCCTCCTCCTCCTCCCACTCCTCCTCCTCCTCCTCCTCCTCCTCCTCCTCCTCCTCCTCCAAGAAAAGGACGAAGCCAGGTGCGGTCCACGGGGCCCACGCCCCCACGCGCAAAGAGAGAGCCGCCGCAGCTCTCGCAAGATGAACCGGCAGAGACACTTCACGCGTGGGGGGCCGCCGAGAGGCGCCGAGGGCCAGCCCGAGCCGGCAGCCCTGACCGAAGTCAGCCCTTCCTGCGTCACGGCGGGAGGCGGGGAGGAGGCCAGTCCGAATCGGGAGACACATGACCGCGCGGGGGCGCGTCGGAGCGTCCCGAGGTTTCGGCTCGCAGCGGCTGACAGACATGGTGGAGGGTGGCGGTCCTAGCTAGGGCCACCACCCCTTCGTCCTGGCGTCGCAGGTCTCCCCCATAAACAGAGTTGGAGCTGGCCCTCCTGCGCGCAGGTCGGCGCGTGGGACTAACCGAGGGTAGGCCGCTAGGATGCCTGTCCAAGTCCACACTTTTGAGAGGACAGTCTACTGAAACCGAAGGTCTCTTGGGATGCCTGCCTTTGGACACTCCGGACCAAACTCGCTCCCCGAAACGCGTGGGCCTACGAAAGCACTGCTCAGACAGACCTTTGAATCTCCCGTGAGAGGAGTAGGCCGTGCAGGAAGTACATATGATGAAAACAGCACTGTCCGAGCAAGTCAAGCTTGTACAGGGGTGGCCATGGGCTTGTATGTCATCTAATGGGAGGTCACGGTGGCCTGGGCAATCTTTGTCCAAGGGCTTGCGGGGTCACGATTTCCTCTGCACTTGAAGACATTTCGCGCGCTTCCAACAAGTTCCAAAGTGCAACCAAGAATGATCAAACTTGGTAGGAACGATTCTGTCTGGCTTGGGCGGACGCGCATATTCAACTTCCCCGAAGTCTCGCAGAGGGGGGGCGAAATCTGGAAGTAAACGCACAGCTAGAAGGCAGGAGGCTCGGGCAAAAAACATATCTCTAGCCAGGACGGCGCCCGAGTCTTTGTCGAACGGGTGTCTGGACAGGGCTGTCTTGGCCAGGGAATCTGCCTGGCCATTTCCCAGCCTCCAGAACAAAAGCGGGGAAGTATTTTCGTCATCTACTGACTGATGCGCACGCGCGTGGCCGAGGGAGGACAAAAACTGACATCCATCCTCAGCCCGCGCCTGCAAACATGCCCTGCATACACTAGTTTATCGCTCAGCTGTCTGGCACGACCTGCGGCGAAAATCTTGACAACATTCTCGCGATCCGAGACCGTGGAGGAGGGCCCAGTGATCATCTGGACACAGGGCAGAAAACCACAGTGCCCCCCCGCTCGCGGGGACTGGGGCATGTGGGCCCACGCAGGCCCCGAGGCTGAGCCCAGGAGCTCCTGGTCGGGGCCGTGCAGAACGACGCTTCAGGAGGCCCTAAAAAGCTCTTTGAAAACATTTCGCGCGCGCGACCCGCCAACAAAAAAACACCTTAAAACTGTCCTGGCTGGGGGGGGGGGGGTCCGAGCGCCGTCTGATAACCAGCGAATCTTCGTCCATGCACACCGGCGGGGGATGGCGGCCTCCAGGGCGACGGAAATCACCGCGGGTAACAACGAACAACTTGTCGGAGGAGGAGGAAACGTAATCGTGAAGCTTCGGGCACTTCCACAGCCTTGGAGACCTAGAATCCGTTGGGGCGCCGCACAACTCGCATTCCAGTGGGAACTGGCGCCCGCAACCTCGGGCGCGCTTGCGGGTGCAGAGCCCGTCGCACACGCAACGTCGAAGGAACCCTTTCTGGAGCGGCGTGAACTTCGACGATGCCAAATGAGAAACAATCGCATCATAGCAGAGACGGTCGCGCCCAAAGTGGCACTTCTGGGCGAGATGCCGCTCGAGCCCCCTAGGGGCGGCCGCGCGAAGGTGAATCCTGAGCGGGGCTGGCGATGTGAAAAGGAGCTCGCGGCAATTCTCACGGCCGCCCCGAAGCCGATAGAACTCGGGCATTTCCCACCCAAGCCCAACCATAATCAAATACATCCCCGAAGGGGGGCCCGAGACACCCCTCCAGGAACGGGGCGGCTTGCTCCGAGCCGACGACCGCCACTGCCTCAAGAGGGGGGGCGGAATCGCTGCAGCGTAAAGGGCGGGGGGGGAGGCCCACGCCCCCCTGCGCCATCTGCAGGCAGCGGCGACCTGGGTGGGCCACGCGGGGTCCCCTTCCAACAGCATAAAGGCAGATTTGGACCCGCCGCTGCAGGATGGCTTGATCAGCCGACCCAAACTCCGACGAAGGGACAGCACTTCAGAGGGCGAGGTCCTGTGGCATTCGGCTCCATAGTTAGCGGCGGGGGGGGGCCCGAAACCCATGGGCGACGGAGGCGAGTCCGACTCGGGGCCCGACCGAAGCGCTTGGCTCTGGCGGCACCGTCGGCTTAGCGCTTCTTGGCCCTGGAATTCCCTCCCCGTGACGGACTGGGCCCCCCCGCGCGTCGTCCACCTCCGAGTTCACTCCCGAAGAAGCGAGGGGGCCGGTCAATTCTAACCCGAGGGAGTCCTGTGCGTCCAATCCGACGGCCTTGGAGCTGCTGATGAGGGTGGCCTTGTCGGCCGAAAGAGTAGCGCCACTATCAGCGGTGGCATTCTGGAGCGCGCGTGCTCCATGAACAACACCTACAACCACTTCACGGCGGGTACCCACCGCTGCACTACTACTGTTGTCGATGTAAAGCTTGAAAGCAACGTTGAGACTCCAGGCGATGCGATCAAGGGGTCCAATATTGTTGTTCCGAATCATAGCTGCGGCCAGACTGCAGCCCGCACCAACCCCGAACTCCGCATGCACAGCATTTGATTTCATCGCCTGGATGCCGACGTGGCGGGCCGACCTGTGGGTCGAAATGGGAACTCGCCTGGCGGCCAGCGGGGGATCGTACTCGATGCCGCGCTGGAGCAGCTGGGGGAGCGGCAGCGTTTCGAAATTCTTAACGACGTCCCACAGGAGATTGCAGGAAACCAAGCCCCGGGCCACCTCCCCCTCTGCTCGCAGCAGCTGGCGCCATCTGGGCAATCTGGGCGGGAAGCAGTCCCGACGTTTCCATCGCAAGGGACATCGAATGGAGCGTGGCCAGCCCCTGGTCGGGAAGCCACCCCAGGTGACGGACCTGAAGCCCGCCCGAGGCAACAATGGACCTTTCCTTGTGACGCACGCAAATGTCTCGAACCGCGTCCAGGTCCAAAGGCGGGGAGGGGCAGGGGCGATCGGGCAGGGGGGGCGGCGGAATTGGCGAAGCCCTCCAAAGTCCTTGGTATCTGGCCGATTCAGAACGCAAGATGATTCGAGGGTCGCTGACAACGCCCTCTCCTCTTTCCAAAACGGTGGTGGGCTGCAGGGGGGTCAGGGCTTTCGAAGCCAAATGGGCGTTTCGACCCCCCTGGTCGATCCCCTTGAGGAGCCAGGACCGCCGCCCCTGGGCAGACTCATTGCGAGCCATCTTCTCGCAGGAATCCAAAGCCTCACGGACGGTGGGCCGAAGCCCGCTCATGCGACTGCCGAGGCCCGAAACCCCACCTGTGCCCGCTGAGAGGTAACGCAAGTTGCGGGCTTCAAGAAAAATGGGCCAGCGCCCCTTGCCGTGCTTAACAACCAATGGTGGGGCAGCGAAACCATGCTGGATGGAATCAGAAAGGCTGGACTGCGTCGGGTGCTGGAAACAGGCTTCCAGCATGACGATGGACTTCCGCAGCATCTGATTGGCACAAGCTCGGGATGCCTCGGCAGCTTCATGTCCTGCTGACAGACCGAAGACCAGACGGTGGAGGGCAGCTTCCCTCGAGCCCCTGGGCTCTTCAGTTCTACTCCCACGGCTGCCGCAATCTCCCTCTCCGCCAAGTTAGCCCAAACTTGTGGGGGGCGGTAAGGAGAGACTGGGTGACGGAGCCGCCCCCTTGGCGCGCCGCTTCCAGCGCCTTAGCAAAGCTGGCCTGGGCGCCGCGATGACCGGGGGGGCCCGTGCGCGGGCCGATCATCCGAACGGCAGGAAATCGAGCGGGGCGCTTCGAAGTGAGCGCGCGCAATGTACCAAGCAGCGGAAAAAGCGTGAGCCTGCCGGGCCAACGCGGCGACCGATCTCCATCGGACATCCGATCGAGCGATTGGGCAGCCGAACATAGGCCAGGGCTTCCGATGAAGTAGCCGTTCATCCTCATGCCCCCCGTAGTGAGACACGTCCCAGAACATGATGGATACATCGCAACACCCATATTTGATATGCAAACTGTTGGTCGCGGAGGTCGGAAGGGGGGGGGTATTGAAATCGCCTCCAACAAGCCAAGAAAGACAGGCGCTGGTGGAAGCTCTTCCAGCGTCCGAAAAATGCGCTGGTGCTCGACGTCGAAACCGCACCCGTCGCACAGGTGAACGGAAGTAATACAGAAGCCCGCGCCGCCCAGGGCCCCCACGATACCCGATATGACCCTATGCGCCGCCGGCGACGCCACAGGATTGTGGCACAGGCGCAGGAAATCCCGAACGAGGATCGCCACCCCGCCCGTGCTGCCCGCGCCCTCACCTGGAGCCGCTGGGCCCCAAATACCTCGCCATCCATTTCTAATTGCCCAGGCACTGGCCTGGTTTATACCCCCCCCCCGCCGGGACATGGTGCTCTTGCAGCAAAATTGCAAAATTACGTGGGTGGTCGTGCTCAATAGGTACTTCCGCCCACTCCCCCCCCCACCCCGAAACATTCGCTGTTTCAAAACCCAGGGCGAGGGGAGAGACCAGGGCCTGGCAGAGGGGAGAAGGAGGCGCAACGAGAGAAGTAGGGGGGGGCCCTTCCTGGACCTGGGGCCCCTCACAAGGGATTCCATAGAGATCCTTGGCCCGGGTGAGCCGAGACCAGAACGACTTGATTGTTGGCCTCAAGAGGCCGCAAATGAAACGCGGACCCCCAAGCCCCCTGGTCTTGCCGGACTTCGTCGGGGCATTTTTTTTTTGGGGGGTCGTTGCTGGACTTGAGGGTGGCTGCTGCACCCTCGCGGGTGGCGCGCCTCTCGGCCTCTCCGTCCTCTGCGGAGGCGGCCTCCCCGGCGCCCCGGGAGGCGGCTGCTCCGCCGCTGCCTGCGCCTCCAGGAGCTGGAGGAGCGGGAGACTGGGCTGGCTCGGCGGAAGGGGCCTCCCCATCTGCTGGTTCACCATCAGGAGGCGCAGCCGCAGGATCCTCGGAATCTCCAGTGCGGCGTTTCTTCTGTAGGCGCTTGACGAGGTTGCTCCTTTCGGTCTTGAAAGCCTGAAGCTTCTCCGCGGCATCTCCAGAGAGGGTGGCCGCCGCCGCTCGAATCTCCGTCTGTGAATGCTCCAACCTCTGCTTTGCCTCTCGCTGAGTGGCATCGTCCGCCTCGTACTCGTCCTAAAGATCGCCTGCAAGGGATCCCAGGGACATGGGTAACTCCGTGATTTTGCCTGGCAGCGGGTGGCTGAACTCCACCAGCCTTATCTTTGAGTGCGCGCGCCAACCGAGTATGCTCCTTCTCAGCCGCGCCCAGTTCACATGAAATCTTCTTGGCCCAGTCGAACTGCGCGGGAAACTGCTCCTGAAGACGCTGATGGTGCGTGACTGCTTTAGACAGTTTGGTCTCGAGGGACCTGACCTGGTTGAACGCGTTTGAGACCTGCTGCTGGAGCGAAGGGGCCTGGGCGGCTGATACCGCTCAGGCTTTCCGTTGATCCAGAATCCGCTGGTAACTCTTGGCATCCTCCGTGTCTCCGATCTTCGTCAGAAAATCGATGGTCTGCTGGGTGTCTGCGAGACTGGCGTCCCCCGAGAGCTTTGGCACAGGCGAAGAGGACTGCCCAGCCATGAACTGAGGGCCAGGACGCACAGGAAGACCAGGAAGACCCCATGGAGCGGGCGGGCCGCCGCCGCCCCCCACCGGTGGTGGCGGAGGGATTGGGCCTGTCCACTGGGCTCCGAAAGGTGGTCCTGGCCAGACGCCTCCTCCCCCGTTCCAGCCGTGGGGTGACGGGCCGCCGTAGCTCTGCGCCGAGCGTGACCAGCCGTAGGTCCCGCTGTCGCCGTAGCCGTTGGGGGCGCCCTTGGCCCACTGCCCTTACGGGTGTTGAACTTCACCAGCAGGCACGTCCTGACGGGGAGCGTGGCAGTGTTTGCAGTGCTTCCACTTTCCCAAGTTTCGTTTGCAGCCACACTGCTGGCAGGACCAGCGCGCCTGGCCAGCATCAAACTTGGGAAACGCCATGACAGAAAACCGGATGTAATCCTTACCCTTGTTAGCCGTTCGCGGCGGCTCTCAAGCTCGCACAGAAACTGGTACAGCCAGGGTAGGCGATGGCTGAGTTCGATGCCGAAGATAAGGAACTCGAGCCAAAACAGCCTGACAGGCCCCAAGAGTGGCCCCGACAGGGTCCCGAGACGGGCCCGGGAGGCAAGCTCGCGGGAGCCTCTGGGGGCCCTCCGACGCAACATGGCCCCTGGGACCGCCGACGGGCCCCTGAGAAGCCCCCTCGGAGCAAGGTGTGCCCGGAGGGCCCCGCGGGCCCCCTCCCCGAGTGCCCGCGCGGTTCGGAGCTGGGGCCGTCGCTCGGACGCGAGCGTGTCCTCCTACGGGGGGGGAGGGAGTGCGAGGTGGAGGAGGGCGAGGACGATGGAGGATGATGATGGCGAGTGAGATGAGGCGAATGGCGATGGTGGTAAGAACGAAGAGGACGACGTAGGACTATTATGACGTGGGGAAGGATGGGGAGGCGGACGAGGCCTGCCGGATGCCGCTGCAGAGGAGCAGGCGCGGATGGCGGGCTGCTCCTCTTCGCTCTTCGGAAAGCTCGCTCGTACCGCTGGATGTGGCCCATGAAGGCTTCGTCGCTGTCCAGGGAAGGCCCGATAGTCTCCAGCGATCCCTTCAAGGATAGCAGGAAGTCCTGCGCGGAGGGGGCGGGGGTCATGGAGATGGGCAGCGAGCAAGCAAGACAGACAATGACGAAGAGGAGAGCCGTGGCGAGGGGGCGGGGACGGACGAGGCCAGCGATGAGAACGAGGAGACGGTGTGAAGTGGTGGGGGAGGGCGGCTGGGATTTGAGAGGGTGGGAAGAAAAGGACAACGAGGGAGAACAAATGACTAGAAGAGGCGACAGGACTGGCGAGAACCGGGGACATCACGAGAAGACGGAGACGGAGTAGAGGGAGGAGAAGGAGGAGAAGAGAAGCGGCCATGCCGAGGAGAAGAATTCGCAAAGCCTGAGGGGTAGGAGGCGGATGCGCTCCTCGTGGCACGCGGGAGCGCACGAGCCGGTCACCGGAACATATAACTGCCTGGGTGAGAATCGCTTGCGTCTGTCAACGCGAGGCCGCCGCTGCTGCCGTCGTCTTGGCCGTCGTCATTCGCCATCGCCGTCGCCGCCGCCGCCGTCGGCGGTCGTCGTCGTCGTCGTCGTCGTCGTCGGCCCCCAAGGTCTGCCCCATGGGTTTGGGGCGCTGGGCGCCCGGGCGCCTGGGGCAGGGCGTGCGCGTCTGCACTCACTGGGCGCAGCGCGTCGGCTCCGAGCCTCGTCTCGTCGGTCCTCCCGTCCTCAGCCTTCGGTCGGAGGCACGAGGCGGTGCGCAAACGATCGAGCGCGCGCGCAGCTCACAGCAGGAGGCTCGCGCGAGGCGGAGCACTCTGCCTCTGCATCCCATCCCTCATCCTGCCCACCTTTCGATGCCTCTCTCTCCTTCTCTCCTTCGTTATTCCTCTCGGGAACTCTCTCATACCTCCCCCTCCCTTTTGTTGTTTTACGTCTCCCCCTCTCTGTCTCTCTCTCTCTCTCTCTCTTTCTCTTCTCGCCTTCGTCGTCTCCTACTTATTATTCTTCTCCTCCAACTCCTCCTCTTCTTCATCCTCCATCGTCCTCATGTCGTTTTCATCGTCCTCCTTCTCGTTATCCTCCTCTTCCGCATCCCTCATCAGCCTGCTTCGCCTCATCCTCCTCCTCCTCCTCCTACTCCTCCTCCTCCTCCTTGTCCTCCCGTGTCTCTTGCTCATCCCAGCAGTCCAGATCTCAACGTGCTGCCGTGGTGGCACCGCGCACATCCGATGCACCTGCGCAGTGACCTCGGCAGTGGTGACGCACCCGTCCTACCACAACCATCATCGCACTCCAATCCCCCCCAGATCTCCCCCAGTCCTTCGCGCCCTCGAAGGCCGCCAGCAGCTCCGCCGCGGTCGCCGCGGCCTTGTTCTGAAAGTCGCCGCGTCTCTCCTCGCCCACACGGGGGGGGGGGGGGAGCCTAAGAGGAGGAAGAAAAGGGGATAGGGAGGATGCAGGATGGAGGATGCATTTCGGAGCATGCAAGATGGAGGATAAGCCTGAGGGGGAACGCAGGGTGAGAAGCACACCGTCTACGCGGGCAACACGCTTCCTGGCGCGCTTGTGCAAAAGGGAACACGCAGGGTACCCACTCCTTTCGGGGAGACGTAAGACTCGGGTTGGCCTGACGGGGCAATCATGAAAACGACGAGACCCAATCTGAGATTTGACGCGAGGTCCCGATGCAAACATCCCACGGAAACTGGACCGTCAAAACCTGGGACGCGCTCGTCAAAAAACGTTGGTAAACCCGAGTTGCGGCGCACTCGAGTCTTACAGAGGAGACCAGTCCACAAGAAACCTTCCACAAGAAACCCAACCCTGAGACCCCAGGGCGCGTCCATTGATCTTTGGTGCGAGAGCGCCACGCTTTCCATAGCAAAGCCGTTCACGCCCAAGAAGCCCAGAGCACCCCCTGGAGGCAAGCAGGGTGCTTCTTGGCATGGGCCCCCACGGTACTCCAGATTTCGTAATAAAGGGAGGGGGGTCTCATTTCGGGGGGGGTCTCTTCCAGGCTATCTTGGAGGGCCTGGGGGGTCTGGGGACGATGTTTTGGAGGGTTCTCCCACGGGGGAGGTCTGAAATGGCTTGTCTTGGAGGGTCCAGACCCCCTCCCTTTTATTACGAAATCTGGAGTACGCTTCCCCCCCCCGTGGCGTGACTGCGCGAACGAGGAGAGCACTGCTCGCCAGGCCCCAGAGCACGGGCTGCACCCCCCCCCCCGAGCAAGCCGCGGGGCCGGCAACGGCGGAGCCCCTGCCAGACGCGCGCGCTCCACTGCTCGCAAGGCGACGACTCGCAAATGGCCTAGATCCGCAGGGTCAAACTCACGACCCATTACGACGAGGCAAACCTGTGCTTCCGGACGTTTTCGAGTACTCCAGATTTCGTAATAAAGGGAGGGGGGTCTCATTTAGGGGGGGGGGGGTCTCTTCCAGGCTATCTTGGAGGGCCTGGGGGGTCTGGGGACGATGTTTTGGAGGGTTCTCCCACGGGGGAGGTCTGAAATAGCTTGTCTTGGAGGGTCCAGACCCCCTCCCTTTGATTACGAACTCTGGAGTAGGCACATTGCGAATACGGGAACGTGCGCGCTGACCTACCCTGACCCGCGGGAGCGCGCTGCCGGAGCGCGGTGCAGTGCCTCGACCAGTGCGTCCGTGGTGCGCGGCAACCGACCGCGCTCACTCAAACGGGCGCCGCGCGGACTGGAACGGGAGGCGCCCGAGGCGCCAAGACAGCCAGGCGAGGCTAACCCAGTGCGGGCGATCATAATCCCTGGGAGATAATATCGGGGTCTGGCGGGGATAATCAACGATTTTCCCGGGGAAGGTGAAGTTATAATAATAAGAATAATAAGAATAATAATAAAGATGATGATGGTGATGGTGATAATAATAATAATAATAATAATAATAATAACGATGATGATGATGATGATGATGATGATGATGATGATGATGATGATGAATCGATTACGATGACGATGACTATGACGATGAAGATGAACGATGACGACGACGATGACGATGGACGATGACGATGAATGATGACGAGACGATTGACGATGACGATCTGACGATGACATGACGAATGACGATTATGATGATGATGATGACGATGAACATGGACGAGACGATGACGTTTGATCAGAGTGAAAGTTTTCAATCTTTGAAGATGATGACATTGACGGATGACGATGACGATGACGGAAGACGATGACGATGACGAGACGATGACGAATGGACTAATGATGATGATGATGATGATGATGATGATGATATTGATGATGATGATGAATAGAGAATGATAATGATCATGATAATGAATGAATGAATGATGATAGATGATGATGACGATGATGATGATGATGATGCTGCTAGCTGCTGCTGCTGGCTAGCTGATGATGATGATGATGATGATGATGATGATGATGATGATGATGATGATGATGATGATGATGATGATGATGATGATGATGATGATGATGATGATGATGATGGAGGGCCGGCACGAGGTGGCCGACGAGAGTGGCGGTGCCAGGTAGCGGCGAATCCGCGGCCTGGTGCCAGGCAGCGGCGAGTCCCTCTGGAGAGTCGAGGCCCCATGCCCCTCCCCCCACTCGGAAATGGATTGTTAACCCCCTGGGCCTATGTCTTCCCCACCGGGTTTTTTGCTTGCCCCCCGCCCCCCCCGCCGGCGCCAGACCCGCCAGGCCAAGCGCCTTCTCGGTGCGCCCCCTCCCACGCCCCTTCTCGTGCGCACCGCCTGCCTCTCTGCCCCATCCCCGTTCCCCCCCCCCCCGCAGACTGCTCGTCCCGCTTGGCCTGGCGACCAGCGCGGGGACTTCGAAAACGACGGGCGCCAGAGACGGAGGGAGCCACTCCCGTGCCTGGCCCACTGGTCCTGAGAACACTTGTGAAGCCGTGGGCTCGGCCAACGCTCAGGTCGGGTAAAGCTAGAGCGGCATGCGGAAAAGCCGCCTGCGCACCGCTGGGGAAAGGCAAGGACAGAGGGCTGGCCGCGGGCGAGAGGAGAAGGAGGAGGAGGAGGCGGAGGAGGAGGAGGAAGAGGAGGAGGAGGAGGAGGAGGAGGTGGAGGAGAAGGAACGATGAAGGAGGAAGAGGGATGAGGAGGAGGAGGAGTGTGGAGGAGAAGAATGATAAAGGAGGAAGAGGAGTAGGAGGAGGAGGAGAGGAGGTGCAGGAGGAGAGGAGGAGGAGGAGGAGGAGGAGATGGGGGCGCGAGAGGCGCTCAGAGCAGGGAGCACCGGACGCCAGTGCTGCGGCGCTTGCGGAGAGGCTAGCCAGGGAAGCCGCAGCACGGCGGCCCAGCTCTGGGTGGAGGCGTGTCGGGGGACAGCCAGGCTGCGCAGGGAGATGGCGAGGAGGCGGAAGAGGCAGAAGGGAGGAGGCGGATGTGAAGGATGGAGGCGGGAGGAAGACGGAGGGGGAAGAAGGCTCTTCCTCGTCCCTTTCCTCTGAGGAGGCGCATCCTTCCTTCTCCCTCTCCTCCATGCGGTCTTCCACATCCTCCCTCTTTCCATCATCTCCCTCTCTCTCAATCTCGCGCTCTCTCTCTCTCTCACTCTCACTCTCTCTCTCTCTCTTTTTTTTTTTTTTTTTTTTTTTTTCTCTCTCTCTCTCTCTATACATATATATATATATCCCTCCTCCTCTCCCCTCCCCGCCCCTCCCATGCCCTCCCCTCCCCTCGTCTCGTCTCGTCTCGTCTCGTCTCGTCTTTCTCTTTCTCTCTCTCTCTCTCTCTTTCTCCCTCCCTCCCTCTCTCTGCCTCCTCCCTGGGGGGAGGACGAGGTCGCGAGCGGCGCGTCCTGCGCCGCCCCTTGCCTCGCCCTGTCGGCAGCCGCGCCCTCGGTGGACGTGCCCAGCAGCTTGAAGGCGTACTCGTCCAACGAAAGGCCCTTGGAGCCTGGGCGCGGTCGCCCTTCCACTTCCCTCTCTCCCTCCTCCTCCCCCTCCTCCTCCCTTGCCCCCACTTCTCCCGCCCTATCCCCCTGCTCTCCTCCCCCCTCGAGCATTCTGGCTCCGGCAGCGCATGTTGCGGCTCCAGCCTGAGGTCCGACCCTGCGCCTGAGCCTGGGCGCGGTCGCCCTTCCTGCTCACCCTCTCCCTCCTGCTGCTCCTCCTCCTCCTCCTCTCCTCCTCCTCCGCCTCCTCCTCCTCCTCCTCCTCCTCCCCCCTCCACCCCCCCTCCCCTCCCCCCTCCCCCTCCCTCCGCCCCCTCCCCCTCCTCCCCTCTCCTCCTCCTCCTCCTCCTCCTCCTCCTCCTCCTCCCCGCCTCCTCCTCCCTCCCCTCCTCCGCCTCCTCCTCCGCCTCCTCCTCCTCCTCCTCGCTCCTCTCCCCTCCCCCCTCCCCGTCGCCCGTCCCCCTCCTCCCCCTCCTCCTCCCCCTCCTCCTCCTACCTCCTCCTCCGCCTCCTCCTCCTGCTCCTCCTCCCTCCCTCCCGCCTCCCCCCTCCCTCCCTCCCTCCCTCCCTCCCTCCCTCCCGCCCATACCCTTCCCTCCCTCCCTCCCTCCTCCCTCCGCCCTCCTCTCCCCTCCTCCCGCCTCCCTCTCCCTCCTCACCTCCTCCCTCCTTTCCCTCCTCCCTCCTCCCTCCCTCCCCCCTCCTCCCCTCCCCTCCTCCCTCCTCCCCGTCCTCCCTCCCCCCCTCCCTCGCCTCCTCCCTACCTCCCTCCCTCCCTCCTCCCTCCTCCCTCCCCCTCCTCCTCCATCCTCCTCCAGCCTCCTCCTCCCTCCTCCTCCTCTCCTCTCCCCTCCTCCTCCTCCTCCCCTCCTCCCTCCGCCTCCTCCTCCTCCTCCTCCTCCTCCTCCTCTCCTCTCCACCTCCTCCTCCTCCTCCTCCCCCCCCTCATCCCCCCCCCTCCTCCTCCTCCCGCCTCCTCCTCCTCCCCTCCTGCTGCCCTCCTCCCGCCCCTCCCCTCCTCCTCTTCCCCCTTTCCCCCTCCCCCGCCTCCCCGGCCTCCTCCCTTCCCCCTCCTCCCGCCCTCTCCCTCTCTTCTTGCGCAGGCTGTAGGGCGCCCAGGTTGCGCCCGAGGCATCGCGAGGCCCGCGGTGACCCGCGGGCAGAGCAGGACGTGGACAGGCAGGCAGCACAAGGCAAGAGAGAGCAGAAGGAGGAGCAAGGGGAGACAACATGAAGATCGCCACCTCAAACACATGATGATGATGGTGATGATGATGATGATGGTGATGATGGTGATGCTGGTGATGGCGATGATGCTGATGCTGATGCTGATGATGGTGATACTGCTGATGCTGATGGTGAAGATGATGCTGCTGCTGCTGATGCTGATGCTGCTGATGATGGTGGTGTTGATGATGATGATGTTGATGATGATGATGATGGTGATGATGATGATGATGATGATGATGATGATGATGATGATGATGATGATGATGATGATGTTGATGATGATGATGATGAAGAAGAAGATGGTGATGATGATGGTGATGTTCGCCTCGCCAGCACCCTCGCCCTCTCCCCCTGCTCTCCCCCCCCCCAGCACTCTGGCTCCGACCGCGCACCTTGCAGCTCCAGTCTGAGCTCCGGCCCTGCGCCTCCGCGGGCTGCCTTTCTTGAGGGGCGCGCGGCCGCCGGGCCGAGCCACCGGCAGGCCTGCGCGGCAGAACCAGGGCAGGGCGACGGGAGTGCGCGCGCGCGCGGAGCCGAAGTCCAGGATGTTCGCCCTACGAGTGCATCGACGGTCTCGAACCACGGCTCTGCAAGCGCAGCAAGTGTCATCGTTCGGTCAAGCTCTGTAGACCCAAACCTCGTAGAGGCGGTGGCTTGGCAATAGCGGCAGAAGAAGTCGAGGCAATGTTGACAAGGATGATTGCTTCAGGGCCCCGTAGACCCGGACACGCTAGACCCGGACACGCAACATCACTCGAAACAAATTTTTCCAAACGGCGGCACGAACAAAATAATGCACTGCAGCACTTCCAGAATAAACCCGGACACAGGCCGCAAAAGCCTGCAAGACCCCTCCTAGACCCGGACACAACCCCGACTCCTGCAGTGCAGCAAGCAAAACATGCACGGATGCTGAAAAACGTGACTTTGCAGGAAGGGATGTCGTTTCCTTGGTTTTCCGTGTCCCGGTTTGTCTGTGTCCTGGTCTCTGGGGGCCTGATTGCTACTCAAGCAGTCTTTGCCGGTGCAGCTCGAGCGCGTCGACAAGCCAGGCAGTATCATAGCTGCGCCAATTGCGCCTGCGGAGACATTGCGGCGGGCAGATGGTACGTGGAAGAACGTCATCATGCGCCACGACCAAGTCGTATCACAGGCCATCAAGTGTCGTGAGGCCCTCAAGAGGGCGGAGGAGAACGAGTCCCTGAGGGCTGGAGAGGTCGCAGCAACTGAGATCGCCGTGCGCACCTTGGCGCAGGAGGCGGGGGTCGGGTCGGACAGCGGCGACAACTCAGCGAGACGAGTGCGAGCGCGAGCCGTCAGAGAGAGAAGAGCTGCACAAGTGAGAGGCCGAGCTGCGGGCAGCAGGAGACGCGCTCACGGCCAGAGGGTCTCCAGCCGAGCAGCGGAATCGGAGGGCTGCGCAGATGTCTGAAGGGGCCCTGGGACACACAAGTACATACGCACAAATAAAATTATTCCTGGTATTTTCCTATATTTTCCGGGTTTCTGTCTTCCCCCCCACTGCCCATATTTTCCAATATTTTCTGGGAAATCGACGATTCATTGTGTCTGTGTGTTTTTCCCTACTGAATGTCGCAGGCCACCACAGAGCGCATGTTCAAGAACAGGCAGGATGCCCAGGGACAAGGGGTCGCTGCAGGATCGCCGGCCTCTGGTTCGGCAGACTCCTCTGCCGCGGCGGCGGCGAGCACGGCCAGGCCAATGGACGAGGACACTCAGCATGAAGCCGACAGGATCCCCTCAGCCGTGTTTGAAGGGGCCCTGGGACACAAATAAGTAGACACCAGTAACAGGATTCCCAAGTTTATCCCATGTTTCCCAACCCTCCTTGGTTGGGTATTCGCTTTGAATAGAGGGGTGTGGTCGCGTCTCTCCTTCTCTTCCTCCCGCCTCCCGCCTCCTCTCGCCTCCTGCCCTCTCTTCGCCGTCGCTGGGGGGGTGCGGTCTGCGAAACTGTCGCCACTTTTGATAGCTGCTGGTGGGTCCTGCGGAGTGAGACACCGCGCAAATCTGAGCGAGACCCTGTCGTCCCTGGGGGGCTGCGATCTGCGAAACTGTCGCCACTTTCGACGGCTGCTGGTGGGTCCAGCGGAGTGAGGCACTGCGCAGATCTGAGCGAGGCCTCGCCGTCCTTGGGGGGCTGCGATCTGCGAAACTGTCGCCAATTTCGAAGGTTGCTGGTAGGTCCTGCGGAGTGAGGCACCGCGCAAATCTGAGCGAGACCCTGCCGTCCCTGGGGGGCTGCGATCTGCGAAACTGTCGCCAATTTCGAGCGCTGCTGGTGGGTCCTGCGGAGTGAGGCACCGCGCAGATCTGAGCGAGACATCGCCGTCCCTGGGGGGCTGCGATCTGCGAAACTGTCGCCAATTTCGAGGGTTGCTGGTGGGTCCTGCGGAGTGAGGCACCGCGCAGATCTGAGCGAGACCCTGCCGTCCCTGGGGTGCTGCGATCTGCGAAACTGTCGCCACTTTCGAGGGCTGCTGGTGGGTCCTGCGGAGTGAGGCACCGCGCAGATCTGAGCGAGACCTCGCGTCCCGGGGGGCTGGCGATTCTGCGAAACTGTGTCGCCACTTTCGAGGGCTGCTGGTGGGTCCTGCGGAGTGAGGCTCCACGCGATCTGAGCGAGACCTCTCCGCTCCCTGGGGGCGCCGATATGCGAAAAAGTCTCTCGCCACTTTCGAGAATGCTTGGGGGTCCAGCGTGAGTGAGACACCGGCCAGATCTGAGCGGGACCTCGCCGTCGTGTGGGGGCTGCGATCTGTGAAACTGTCGCCACGTTCGACGGCTGCTGGTGGGTCCAGCGGAGTGAGGCACCACGTGGATTCAGATTAGACCTCGCCATCTGTGGGGGCTGCGATCTGTGAAACCGTCGCCACTTTCGAGGGCTGCTGGTGGGTCCAGCGGAGTGAGGCACCACGGGGACTCAGATTAGACCTCGCCATCTCTGGGGGGTTGCGATCTGTGAAACTGTCGCCACTTTCGAGGCTGCTGGTGGGTCCAGCGGAGTGAGGCACCACGGGGACTCAGATTAGACCTCGCCATCTATGGGGGTGGCTGCGATCTGTGAAACTGTCGCCACTTTCGATGGCTGCTGGTGGGTCCAGCGGAGTGAGGCACCGCGATATCTTGAAGGGGCAGACCTCGCCGAAGTCCCCTGGGGGGCTGCGATCTGCGAAACTGTCGCCACTTTCGAGGGCTGCTGGTGGGTCCTGCGGAGTGAGGCACCGCGCAGATCTGAGCGAGACATCGCCGTCCCTGGGAAGCTGCGATCTGCGAAACTGTCGCCAATTTCGAAGGCTGCTGGCTGGTCCTGCGGAGTGAGGCACCACGCAGATCTGAGCGAGACCTCGCCGTCCCTGGGGGGGGTGCGATCTGCGAAACTGTCGGAACGTTCGAGGTCTGCTTTAAGCCACTTTCAAAGGCTGCTGGCGGGTCCAGCGGAGTGAGGCACCGCGCAGATCTGAGCGGGACCTCGCCGTCCCTGGGGGGCTGCGATCTGCGAAACTGTCGCCACTTTCGAGGGCTGCTGGTGGGTCCAGCGGGGTGAGGCACCGCGCAAATCTGAGCGACACCTCGCCGTGCCCGGCGGGCTGCGATCTGCGAATTTGTCACCGCTTTCGAGGGCTGCTGGTGGGTCCAGCGGAGTGAGGCACCGCGCAGATCTGAGCGGAGCCTCGCCGTCCTTGGGGGGCTGCGATCTGCGAAACTGTCGCCACTTTCGAAGTCTGGTGGCGGGTTCAGCGCAGCGAGG